TTTTGGACTTTCCAAATTCGTGACAGATGAAAATCATGGCCTCAAGACTCCACATCTTACTTCCTGTACGTCCGGAATTTCAACTTTTAATCAAACAACAATAGCTAATGTAGGAACAGTACGATACCAAAGTCCTGAACAGGTTATAAATTAATACATCACAATTAAAGCTAAATCAACCGCCATTTACGCGATTTGTACCCATTAAATTCACACATCGATTTCAGCTAGCTGGCAAACCGTATTGCAACAAAGTGGACATTTACAGTTTTGGTTTAACTCTGGCCGAACTTTTCTTCCCATCTGGAGACGAACTGAAACACGAATATTTTACCGATTTAAAAACTTGCGAGGGCCGAGGTGCATCTCCATGTGTGGAAATAACTCAGCTAATTCCAGTCTCGCTTCTTTACCTAATTCTTAGAATGCTAGCAACTGAACCGGCCGACCGACCTACAGCGTCGCAGGTACATTCAGAACTTCTCAATATGTACCAGAAAATATTGCGCTTCCCCATCTACCATTACGAGGATGAACTGCTTAAGAATTCACACCTACGAGAATTACCGTCTTTTTTAGTGCAACGTCCCGAACTGTCCGAGCTCCTTCAAGTGTATGACAAAGGAAAGGAGTCTGTCGTATTTTTAACAGGTCATGCCGGCAGTGGGAAAACTACTGTGACGCTGCCGTTCATAGAAACCCTGATGAATCGAGGAGGCCATGTGTCGATCTTCTTTTTCGACATCGCTAAGACATGTCCGATCAAGAATAAGCTTGAATGGATGGGAAATCGATTGCGAGGCAATATTTATAAAGATGGTGGTACCAGAGTTACCGTAAGTTGTTAACTTTTATTTTGGGCCGTGTCAAAGTGGTCAGTTTCGTTATAGAATCCCTTCATGATCTTTGTCGACCTTTTGAATACATCCAAGTGCCAATTTCAGAACTATTTTTCGACGATACTTATCGGTTTTTTTTTCCTGTCGCCTGTTGACCCCCGTGACATAATAAATGGTATTTTTCGTTAGCTTAGCCATTCCATAATCCTTTTCATATCTTTTACAGATTATGGAACTGATTCATGCTATTCATACTGGCTTCCAAGGGACAAAATGTATCCTGATTTTCGACAATATATCTAGTTCTGCAAGGGTTAATGACGTCATTCTTAACCTGATCAAACTTGGGATCGCCGAAGAAAGCAATCAACCCTTTGTGGTGCTCACATCTCGAGACGTAAACTGTTTTCAAAAGTATCTACTCAATAAACGCGTCCATTTTAATGAAAAGTATTTAAAGGAAGAAAAATTCAAGATCGGAAGGTATTTGGATGAACACATATAAGAATACATTTTCGGAAATTTTAGTTGCTTAACTTGATCTGTGCCACAGGTTAATGCACAATGCTTGGAAAGACGTCCCACAAGACATCGATATCCCAGAGATTCACTTGCGCGGATTCTGCGAAGATCAGGGTGCCGAATTCTTACGACTTGAACTCCACCAAACGCCCCCTATCTCTTGTGATATCAACAAACTCGGTCAACTTTTAGACTGGAACCCACTCTGTCTTCGCCTTGCTACTTGCGTTATAAGGGCACATCACAACATACAGGGTTTTACCTGGGCAAAATTGACTGGGTTAAATGGGGTGGAAAAAATGGTTTTTTCCGCCCACCTAACAAGCTCCCCAGTGGGGAAAATGGACAAAATGGGGAAAACAGTAAATCGGGGCAAAATGAGTCCATATCTCATGTTTAATTTTAATTAAGTAATTAGTGAATCAATTAGTTCTCATAACATCGTAACTAGTAAAATTATAATTACTTAACTCGTTTTTCATTGATTGGTAAGAGCTAAAGTTAATTGCAGGATGTAAGGTTAATGATGGCAGTTGGCGTGTAATATGGACAAAGACCGAATAATATATTATTAATATTTCGGAAAAAAAGAACAATTTCTTAATTGCAATGTTGATCTATAACTAATACACTATAGGTGACACTATAAAACTACTTCCAAGGACAGGTCTGCAGAGCACATTAAAAAGTATTATCTGAAATTAGCTCAAAATCATAAATTGAAGTAACTGTGACGCAGATATAAATACTTATGAAGGGAGAGTGAAAGCAGGATAAAATCAATCGGTTTTTGAAAAACAGATCAAAAATAAAGTTTCTAACATTGGTAGGTAGGCTGCCACATCACTCTAACCTTTCAGACCCATTTTCCCCAAAACCCACCCATTTTGCCCATTTTACCCATTTAACCCAGTGGGCTGGGGATTAAGCTCAAAAGGTGGGTAAAGTAAAACCCTGACAACATAGTCGACTCCCACTTAATACGAACCGTTGCCGAATATGTGCACATTTTTTCTCAAATGTGTGCCGAATACGGACAAGATTCCGCTAAAATTCCTGCCTATCATCGATACCCCCAGAACAGCGTTCCAGACAATTACACGACAAACTTCGCGCTCAGTGTTGTCCTTCACATCACAATGACACAGATCGAAACCGGGACGAGCCGCAACTTCTCGAGACTTTGAAGTCGATCCAATTATCCCTGATTTTATTTCAGAAGGATCTCTCCCATGAGTGGGTGGGCGATGTTCCCTTGGCAGTTGATGTGTTGCAGAGATATGGTTTAGTTACTGAATACAGGGACAATAAAGGATCCCAAAAATATTGGCATATTTGCAGTAATCATTGCGTAGACTGGGTGGCTGCAGAGCGAGAAAATTTCGATGATGAGTTAGATACCAGTAGTGCCATAAATCAAGGTATGAGTGGATACCGGAGGTACGGATTTGTGGCTGGCGCACCATGAAATTTATTTAAGATGTCCTGGGGCGTTATTAAAATTTTGGGGCATATCTTTTGTACTAAACTTTCACTATGTATCATACTTGTTTTTTTAATAAAAAACACATAATGAAGGTATATCGTATCAGTTGGACTAATTGCATTTATTTTATATTTTTTATCATACTTACATACGACATATGTATATATCAAAAGTACTCATTAGTTCACCTATATATTCACCTTATTACTAACAAAGAATTTCTTTTGCCTTAATGCTTAACCAGATACACATGCATGCTAACAAAGGACATGGTAATATACATATCACATTTTGTAGGGTGAAAAATTATATAATTAAAATTATTATAATTTTTGCTTCACTCGCAACCTCTCTTTGATCCGGTTATAAACCGGCTAAATATTTATAAAAACTGCAGTTTTCACTGCATTTCATAAAAATATATATATTTCAACATCGCATAGCAGTATCAACTACATATTTATATAATGTATTTATTGCGGATCAAATATTTATGTGCCTGAAAAATGCAATTTGTTTTAGATTTTTTAGAAACGCACCAAACTAAATTTAAGTATGTCGCTAAACTTCATATCAGGGTTTAAAGCCATCACCTCTATACTATTGTCAGGATCCAGTTTGTTTTTTCTTTGAATATTTACCTAACAACCTTTACCGAAGTTCATCTATGTATCTATGTACACATGTATTCTATGACCATGATGCCCAGATTCTCTCCGCAGCGTATGCCATACTAGCATACTTCATATAAAGGTAGTAACGCCATCACGATTTTATCAGTCTGAAGGAGTCTAACCGAAGGAAACTTTTTAGGCAAGTGTTAATTATTCTGCAAAATACATATTGTTCGCGATGATACTTTGGAAAAGACAAACCTCGAGCTTGGTAAGATATTTAGTGAATACTGGTTGCGGAACTGGTACCGACTGGACCAAATGCGATATATAAATTGTTATATATATTTGTTATACATTGCATCAAAATTCTGATTTAAAAAGGCTCAGAACCGAATCCTTTGTCGTGACCAAATCAAATCATTAAAAAAACTTTTTGCTGCCTACATGCATAAATGTCAAGTTTAACTTATTATACTCTTGTGTTATTTTAGCTTATCCTCCTATTGACGATTTTCAGTAATTACTGTATTGGAAAACCATCAAGAGAGGAGGTTTGTCTATTATATTTACTAAATTGTTCAGTATCATATTTGTATGCTTTTTTTATCCATTTGGAATTGTTGATAAACCAGAAACTACTCGGAAATTTCACTTGTCAGACCTCCTACAAGTAATATTTCCAAATTAAAAGTAATTTTAAGTATTTTTTATTGAAGGAGAAATTCCCCTTGGCTTTGGCTATAAAGCGTAACTCCTCAATTAAAAAACTCTACAGAACGTCACGCCAGCAGCGGTCGCCCTTCATAATTTATGGTGGATGGTGAGTACAGAAATGTTACAAAACCCGAGAAAAATTTTCCTGATTTTAAATTATGTAATCACTATTAATCAGACCAACATTTTGTTTGCCTTTCCAAAAGAGGTACAAACATTGTAATAATTGATTTTTTGAAAAAATAATATTTAAAATATTTAAGTTCACCACCAACTCAGCAATCTACCCCTCCAGAATGGAATACCTCCCATCTCAAATCAACCCATTCCTGCATATGCGCCTTATCAGGGAAAAGCTTGCTACTGCCTCGCACCCATATGCGAGGGCTTTAACGATAAAGTAACTTGCGCCCAAGGAACTGTTTATGGGATTCCGCTGCTTTTCCATTCTGGCACTTGTCAATATGTAGATGAGTATTGCGGTTTTCGATGTCAAGGAGGGTTAGGTCAGGCTTGTGCTTCGATATAGAATTAGCGGATAGAAAAATGATAACCAGGCCTTTTGTGGTGTATTTTTATTTAAATAAGTATACAATTGCTTAATGAAATGAAAGTAATAAAGTTTTAGATTTATACAATGCATACATAAACCCACATCTTTTTGACAAACAAAACAAATTATCCGCATTTTGTCATACTAAGAAGTATAAATAAGTACTTTGTGATAACAAGATTTGAGTCCTATGTAGATATTTGCAGATAAAAATTATGTATTCTGTATATACATAAATACATACATAATAATATTTTTATAGTGACAGGTCAAGCGAAGGATAAATAAAGTAATGGCAAACCAATGGAAAATCTTAGTATTCTTGAAGATTCCGGATTTATTATTTCCCAAAGCGTGAAAACAATCGGGGTTAAACATAAAAAGCCTGTCCATCAATTTTCAGAGATTTAATAACTATTATACTGTATAATAGTTATTAAAATTAATATAATAAAGCCCCACTAAATTAAAAACTTCATCTAATTTAATATCCCGCACAATAATTTATTTCAAACGTCAATCCTTAAAATTCATACAAAGTGATTAAATTCTTGACAGAAGTGCGAATTCATTTACATTAAATAATTACGATATGAATTCCATACCTTAAAATCTTTCACAACCTGGCATAAATAAATATTTGTCTGAAATTAAACCCTCCCCTAATTTTCTACCAAAAATCTAACCAACTAACATAAATTTCGTGACATTGTTAAAATTGAAGATTCTTCGGAATCCGGTTATGATGCAGTTTGTGGCCCCGTAATTGACTCCCAGTCACGAATTCTTGCAAACAGCCTGGAAAATCAAAATTTATTTGTTACAAGAATGCCCACAATCTATATTATAATTTACAAAAGTTGGTCCCGTTAAAATTTTCCGTGACATCCCTGCACACTGATTGGTTGATGATAATTTGAATTGGCCAATCAGAGCATTTGACCATTATTGTGGATATGGATATGGATATGAATCATGTCATATGATTTTTTGGATATGCATTCGATATGAAGTCAGAAACTTTTTACTAATCGTAAACAAAATTGCTTAGCAACGTTAAAAAAATTCTTTAGCAACGTTAAAAAATACCTTACCAACGTCAAAAAATTCCTTAGCAACATTAAAAAATTCCTTAGCAACGTTAAAAAAATTCCTTAGCAGCGTGAAAAAATTCCTTAGCAACGTTAAAAAAAATTCTTAGCAACGTGAAAAAATTGTTTAGCAATGTTAAAAAAATTCCTTGGCAACCCGTAAAATATTCCATAGCAATATATAAAGCTGTTCTGAGACCGAATAAATTTTGACAAAAGTTTTGACAAAGCAAAGAAACAAAAGGTTTGGGCCGGGCTGGCTTATGGGGTCAAATGACAAAACTTTTGACAAAAATTGTAGCAAAAATTTGCTCTGGAGAATGCTTAGGGAGTCGAATGATAAAAGTTTCAGTCATCCAAGCGACTTCCAATTTTGCTAACAGTTTGGTATATGATCGTAATATATAAAGGAAATCGAAGAAATTTCAAATAAAGTGACCCGGTTGGCTCTTTTTTCTCGATTTTTAAAATCATCCCACCGAGTTTTAATGGACTGACGTGCTTTGCGACATGCTCGGACGGGCCTGGTGCGAAGCTGCTCTGAAGCCGAATAAATTTGACAAAAAATTAAAGCAAAAATATGGTCTGAGAGTCGAATGCCAAACCTTTGGCATCGTTAAATAAATTATTTATGAAAGTTAAAAATGATAATACTGCGATAAAACTGTGTATTAGCATTGGAAAATTGCTTTCGTAAAATATAATTCATGTAGTTAACTGGACATGCACGAAGCAACTGCACCTATTGTTAATGCATTACGTATCCATTATGCAAAATGGTTTATCATGTACTTCCTTTAAATTTTCTTTCTGTACTTTCCTTTAAATAAAATTGTATACGGGAATAGACCAAAAAAAACAAATCCGCCCGTCTTTAAGACGGGCTTGCAGGCTAGTTTAGCAATAATTTATGAATTTACCTTCAAAATCGCACGCGAACTTGTTCCCATGGTGCGTCTTCACATGACGAGTAAGGCTTGTTTTGGTGACGTAAGTCAGGGGACAACTGGTACAGGCAAATGGTCGAGCTATAAAAAAAAGTTCGGGGGAATTTAAAATTTAGCGGGTAAATTAAATTTTAATCTGAACCTATTCTCGCACCTTTGTCTTTAGATTTTTGGATCCTTCCATCCAACGTTCGTTGTTTCTCGACGGGACCAATTTTCCCAGATTTGCGAGACTTTCCCATAATGGAAGAAATTTTGGATGCCCCACTTCCCATGGAATTGTTGCGATCCATGGACTCCATCACGTCCAGAATTTCAATGTCGTCAATATCCCCGTCATCTGGGGGGACAATGTGGGTGAGAAATTTATATGAATTTTATTGTACAGAAAGTATCTACCTGATGCATTCACATTGATCAAAAAATCCAATCTGGACGCAGTTTCGACCTTTTGCCTGTGGTTCTCTGGATTAGCCTTTTTAGGGGGCGGAGGAGCTTGCAGAATAAATAATTCATCCCCATCGCCCTCCCCCCAACGAGCATAATTTCTTGAGCCCGATTCACGCCCAGGAGGTTTCATTAGATTGGCTGAATACATAAATATACAGTTGGAATAAAACTCCTTTTTAAGTCGACAAGTTTTAATTACCTTTATTTTTGCTGTGATGACCTCCATATCCAGAAGTGTTGGGTTTCCGACCGTCAGAATTGTCCTTATTTGCAAATCTCTCCCTTCTTTCGCCATCACGATTGGTTTCCATTGCTGGGTTTAAATTAAAATTATTTTGACTTCCTTATTGACTCACTATTAATATGCTTATTAATAACATTTTAAGGTGATTTTAATTAATATTTACAAACTTACAGTCGACATGAGGAGTTAGTCGAGGCATAGTTTGATCCGTTTGTACCAATCCGTCGCCCTCTTCATTATCTTGGGGATTCCTCCCAAATGCTGGATTTAGTTAAATCGGGAAAGTGTATATTAAATTAATTTACATCTCAAACTAAATACCTACTTAAATATCAAATTTAATAACAAATAACATTTATAATTACCTGTAGCCATCTTCTCCTCCAAAGTGTGAAAACGATCGTCATACTTTTTCTCCTCACATTTTTCGCTTATCTGTCTCTCCATAATTTTCATCCAGGCTTCCACCGTCTCGAAAGCTTTTCCAATCTTACTTATCTTCTCCTCGGTGGAGTCATGTTGTCGCCTCAGTTCCCCAAATTGTTCCTCCAGATGGACAATTTTTTCCTCAATCCGGTCCATCCGATCGTTTATCAACCCCTCGAAAAGTGTCATCCTCGTGTTGACACGGGCTTCGAAATGTTTGACAAACGCCGACTGGAAAAAGGCTGGGTATTTTTCGTCGAAAAATTTCCCCACGGCGACTTGAAGGCCGATGAGGAGTTGTTCGACTTGATCCATCTCCATCTGCGGAAAATACGCAGGGATTAATTAATTACTTAATGAGGACGAAGTATTAACAAGTTTTTAATACCGTGATTGAACTATCGAAAATATTTAATTGTAGGTTAATTAAACTTGACTTGAAAATATTTCAGCTGTGTTGTTAGTTGAGTGAAGAACAAAGAAAGAAGGCAGCCAGAAAACTTCCGGTTGGTTTGAATAATAGGGGGAAAGTTAGACCTAAAGAGTTTCTTAATTAAAGATCAAATTAAATTAAATTTGTCGGTCATTAAATAATTACTCATTAATAAAGTTAAAAGTTGGCAGAGATTATAAAATTGAAGTAATTTTCACACCATTATTCTCATCTTAACACGAGCGCCAAGTTCAAAAAGAAAAACAAACTCAAATTTCCAAAAGTGTTGAAAGTCATGTGAGAAAGTTAGCCCCTAGCCCCTATAAACTCAGCCCCTATCCCCTAACCCCAAAAACTCAGCCCCTAGCCCCATCCCCTATAAACTCAGCCCCTACCCCTATCCCCTAAAAACTCATCCCCTATCCCCTAAAATCTCAGCCCCTACCCCCTAAAAACTCAACCCCTAGCCCCTAAAGTTCTCATATTTCCCCTAAACATAAGATACTTCAAATTACAAAATATTGCTCAAGGTTCTGCTTAAAAAAAATCAATTAAATCTTGTCAGTTGTACTGAACTTGTTACTGGCTATAATAAAGTGACAGACCTTCGACACATTCAAAACCCCGCTGGTCTCAATGTTTAACGTGACTCACCGCTTATCAACCGGGGTCCAAGCGAATCTGAAAAATGAGTTTTGACACTCCCATTCTGTACTCCTCAAATCAATTTTGACGAAATTTAGTAGAAATGCTACTTCTACCAACCTTCACAAATGGGAAAAGTGAGGTGTGGGTGGCTTTAAAAATTTACTTATTATGTGCGCATGGAGAAAATACGAACAAGACGTGGTACAGGTGGATAGGAAATTTTTATTTCATACGTAATGATTGCAACATTTGACCCAGACCCTATATTTTTGTTTTAGACGTGACCACGTTCTCCTCAAACTTTAGTTTACGAAATTTTCTATCATTAGATTTGAAAAAAATGAAGGAAAGCCTCTTTCAAGTGCTGACCACAAAATCAAACGGTTAGAATTGGCGTTGAAACATAACTTTGAAAATGGGATTCCTACCTCTAGTGACCTCTAGTGAACTCATTTTTCAGATTCGCTTGGACCCCGGTTGATAAGCGGTGAGTCACGTTAAACATTGAGACCAGAGGGGTTTTGAATGTGTAGAAGTTCTGTCACTTTCTTACAGTCAGTAACAAGTTCAGTACAAATGACAAGATTCAATTGATTTCTTTTTGAAACCGAACCTTGAGCAATATCTTGTAATTTGAAATATCTTATGTTTAGGGGAAATATAAAAATTTTAGGGGCTAGGGGTTGAGTTTTTAGGGGGTAGGGGCTGAGATTTTAGGGGATAGGGGATGAGTTTTTAGGGGATAGGGGCTGAGATTTTAGGGGATAGGGGTAGGGGCTGAGTTTATAGGGGATGGGGCTAGGGGCTGAGTTTTTGGGGTTAGGGGCTAACTTTTCTCACATTTGAAAGTCACTTCGTCATTTAATTAATTTACAATTTTTTAAGTACCTAACTAATTATCGGAATTACTAAATACATGCCATAATGAGAGGGATGGACGGTGTCCTCTTCTCTAAAGTTCGTCTGCCAAGTTCGCACAAACATTTTTGTTACGTTTGTGCGAAACTTGATTGTATTTGCAAGGATGATGGCGACAAAACTGACTCGAAAGATGATTCCAAGGCCAAGCAGGACGTCGCCGAGGCTGTCGTCGACTCCACCACTGAAAACAAAGTTGTCGCCGGTCCGGCGAATAATGACGACACGACCAGCTCCAAGGAAGATGTCGCCAGTAACTCGAGCATTGTAAGCTACACCACAAGTTGGAAACGGTTTGCAATCTTGCCATATCAGGACAGGCGGAAGGTTAGTTGCTAAATATTTTAATGGTGCCATTATTAAAAAAAGATGGGGTGATTAACTATCAATATTTTGTTCCTTGTAAATAGTTTACTCTCGGGACAAGATACACGTCATGGCAAGATCAAGGAGAATTTATCTTCCTGAATATCAAGCACATCGATGATGACTATTCGGACGTTGATTACTCCTCTTATGACGACTCCAGTGATGGCTACTCTGACCAGGATGACGACAAGGACGACATGAAGGAGACGGCGGCGTCAATCGTGGAAATCTCTTGCGATAGTGGACAGTACTACATAATGTCGGCCGTAGTACGTAGATATTTACAAAATAAGTAATTATTCATAATAATGTCTTGTTTTTAAATATGCATTATGTTTATTTTTAGGGAGTCAAACTTGTTATCAATGGCAAGAAGAAGCGACACAACAATGGTCGATACAAACTAAATTTTGGAGACAGATTGGACATCTCTTGGAAGGGTGAAATGACAAATTTGTTATTCAAAGCAAGAAATTTTAGATTATGAAGCATGATATTTGGGCAGGGAGTTTTAAAATATTTAACTATTTATATACTTTAACTCAAGGAGAGAACGTTTAAACCGAACGGCTTTGTAGACTATTACCAAGAAGATAGTGACACTGAAGATGCCGAAGAGGTCTCACCTGGAAAAAATGATGTAAATTTTACGGCCGGCCAAAACCAGTTGGTAAACACTTTTAATTTCATTTATGCAGTTTTGTTTAATTTGAAAAATTTTGAAAAATAACCGTAATTAATTAATTCAAATAATTAATTTAATTTTAGATATTGTCCAAAATCCTGTCCTACCTCCCCCTCCCAAGTTTAAAATGCGCTCGACTTGTTTGCAAAGATTGGAACGATCTGGGCTCCAGAATTTTACGAAATACGGGATACGCCACCTTCCAGTACCAACATGATTACGAAGAGTACAACGAGGACGTCAATGCATCCATGAAGTTTCACCGGTACGTTCAAGAAATGACCGAGCTGGCCGTGTCGAATTGGACACTCTTCATACCAAAATTTGAACTTCACCGGCATCGATTTCCAGATGCATACGAATCCAGCGTGTATAACATTCCCGAACACAGAGAAGGAGGAAAATATATCGAAGATTTGAACTGGTTTCTTCACCCGAACAGAGGTCATCACGTTAAACGGTTGCAGCTGCATGGCCGAATTTACTCCAACTTTGACTAAATACAAAATCTTCCTAAAAGTTGTCACTAAACTGCAAGAAAATTTGCAAGAATTAGAATTGCACGCAGAATTCATCATTACGAAAGAAAACGGAGGCGAACAAGCGTACAAAACTAGGGGACATCTTAACTTAAAAAAGCTAAAACTATTTTCCTTCGATATGACTGGAAATATTCCCCGTATTGTGTACCCAGACTCCTTGAACCTCGCCTGGTTAGCTTCCTGGGCATCGGCAATTGTGGATGTGGAAACAATCGCAATTTCTGGGTGTGCCGCCATGTCGTCAGTTTTCGTCAAACACTTGCTTTTTGCAAGTGTTTGACGAAAACTGACGATTGGACCTTCTTCGTTCCCAAAGTTGACTAAATTTGCCATGTTGCCCTGGCTCAGTCACTCCAAGGCGTCGCTCGGCCTGGATTTTCTGTTTGGATTGAAACAACCCTTAGTCAGTTTAGGAATGGCGAGGCTACTAAATCTTGAGGATGTTCGGAAGTTTGAAAAATTGGTGGAGAAACATGCTCAAACTTTGGAATCCTTGGAATTTATCGTGTCAACGGAAGGAGACGCCAAGAATGGGTTGGAAATTCAGCTCCCTGCCCTCCCCAATTTGCAAGATCTCGACTTTTCCGTCCATCGAGGATATGACAAAGTCAACAGGAGTTATGCCATGGTGATCTTGACCTTTCCAGGGGACACGGGCATCGTTAATTACAAGGCACACCTCCCATCCATTCGCACAATTCGAATCGTCCCCTACAATGAGGTGAGTGGTCAGAAGAGTTGGGAAAAATATGGCAATTTTTTCGACACCTTCCTCCCCAAGAAAGTCACATCTTCAAATCAACAAGAAGTTTGCACTACTCTGAAAAGATTATACATTCCGTACAAGATTGGAGAGGATCCAGAAATTCCATACCCACGAGTGGCCGAACTTGCCGGAATGTTTCCAAATGTGGGGAAGAAATTCATGACCAAATTTACGAATCTTGCCGCAATTCGGGCAGGCATGATTGAAAAGGAAAATTAAACAACATAACTTTCTTTTTTTCAAAATATTTATAAAACTGGATTGATAAGTTGTACCCGATGAATTGTATTACTTTGTTTGTGTTATTTACCTTTAAAGATTGTATCTGTGAGTTATTTACGAATTTGTGTTTTTGCACCCGGCTTGGATTCCCTGGATTGTTGAATAAAGTGTGAAATAAAAGTGGTAAATGTATTTAAAATAATTAAAAAAATATAGCATCAAAAAACTCAATTTTGCAACAATCATGGTAATACCATCGCTAATGCGATCGCTTCGCTAAGTTTATGTATGTAGCATTAAAAAATAATATTACACGCATTTGAATATTTAGCACAGCATTAACAATGGAAAACAAACAATTTAACTATAAAAAATTCAGTCATGTAAAGTTTCTCAGAGTTGCCCACGACTTTCATTCTGCAAGTTTCTTCGCCATTTAATTATTTACGAAGTAATATAAGTTAATTATAAGTTTTTAAGGCAGTTAATTATCCAAATTACTAAATTAATTGCATAATGAGAGGATTAGACGGTGTCCTCTTCTCCAAAGTTCGTCTACCTAGTTCACACAAATATTTTTGCTATGTGTGTTCGAAACTTGATTGTGTTTGCTCTGACAATGGCGACAAGACCGGCTCGAAGGATTATTCCAACGCCAAGCAGGACGTCGCTGAGGGTGTCAACAATTCTACGACTAAAGATAAACTCTTCGCCGATCAGGCGAATAATGGCGACACAGCCAGCACCAAGGATGCCATCGCCACTAACTCGAAGGACGTGGACAAGTACGTCGTACATTATACCACAAGTTGGAAACGGTTTGCCGTATCAGGACAGGCGGAAGGTTTGTTACTAAATACTTTAATGATGATACACTAATTAAGGAAAATCTGGCGTAATTAACTACCAATATTTTGTTTCCTGCAGTTTACCCTCGGAACAAGATACACATCATGGCAAGCGCAAGGAGAATTTATCTTCTTAAATATAAATCACATCGATGATGACCACTCGGGCGTGGACTGTTCCGATTATGACGACTCCAGTGCTGGCTACTCTGACCAGAAGGACGACATTAAGTCGACGGCGGCGTCACTCGTGGAAATATCCTGTGATAATGGACAGTACTACATAATGTCGGCCGTAGTACGTAGATATATAAATACAAAATAAGTAATTGTTCGTAGTGTCTTGTTTTCTTAAATGTAGTATTCTTATTTTTAGGGAGTCAAACTTTTAATCAATAGTAAAAAGAAGCGACACAGCAATTACCGATATGAACTTAATTTTGGAGACGTCTTGGAAATCTCTTGGAAGGGCGAAATGACAACGTTACTGTTCAAAGTGAGTTACTCGTTTTATATTTTTACCACCAGGAATGACAAGTTTCTACCTGGAAAGGACCCTCTAAAGATTTCTCTACCTTTATAGGAAAGAAAGTTTAAACCGGATGGTTTCGTGGACTATTACGACGAAGATAGTGACACTGAGGATGGACAGGAAATGTCACGGGGAGAAAATAATGGGGATTTTACACCTGGGCAAAATCAACTGGTACGCAAAATTAGTTGAATATTTAAGTGTAGTTCTGTTTATTTTGTCGTACGTAATATGAAACAAAAACTTTAATGAACTTTTAGATCCTGTCCAAAATCCTGTCTTATCTTCCCCTCCGAAGTTTGAAATGTGCCCGACTTGTATGCAAAAATTGGAATGAAGAGGGGTCAAGACTTTCACGAAATACGGGATACGCTTCATTCCAGTACGAACACGATTACGACATGTACATCGAAGATGTCAACGCATCCATCCAGTTTCACATATATTCAGGAAATGCAGAACATGCCCATGCCCAATTGGAAACTGTATATCCCGAAATTTGAATTTCATCGGACCCGATATCCAGATGCAGAAAACAGCGTGTATAATATTCCCGAACATAGAAAAGGAGGAAAATATATCGAGGATTTGAAATGGTTTCTTCACCCGAATCGGGGCCATCACGTTAAACGACTGCAGCTGCATGAAATAATCTACTCCGACTTTGACTACAAAATCTTCCTAAAGGTTGTCTCCACGCTGCAAGAAAATTTGCAAGAAGTAGATCCGGAGGTGACATTCAAAAGGTATGCAAAATTCAAATCGTTTAAAATATACAATTCTTTAAGCTTTTGTCAATTTTATTAATTTGCAGATCTTGCGCAAAATCCTGTCCTACCTTCCCATCCAAAGTTTGAAATGCGCCCGACTAGTATGCAAAGATTGGAATGAAGAAGGCTCAAAAATTTTGCAAAGTACGGGATACGCCACTTTCAGACCAAATGAGTATCTCGACCTCCTCAAAGATGTCAACGCCTCCATGAAGTTTCATCGGTACACTCAAGAAATGCAGGACATGCCCATGCCCAATTGGAAACTATTGATTCCGACACTTTACCGGTTCCCACTTTCTAATTCAGTATACATGCCGGAAGCCAACGTGGGAGGAAAATATATCGAGGATTTGGCCTGGTTACTTCACCCAAATCAAGGACATCACGTGAAAAGATTACAGCTGCATGAAATAATCTACTGCAACTTTGACTACAAAATCTTTTTAAAAATCGTCACGAAACTGCAAGAAAATTTGCAAGAATTAGAATTGGAACTTTAATGTTTGATAGACGCGAATTACCCGATCGCAGAAAATCTTCGATTCCCAAAACTAAAAGTATTTTGTGTTAAATTCAATGGTGTCGGCATTATGGACAATCTTCCCTGGTTGGCACCCTGGGCATTGGCAATTGTGAAAGTGGAAGCGATCCAAATTTCTGGAAATTCTGTCATGTCTTCTATTTTTATCGAACACATGCAAAAAATTGGACCTTTGTCATTTCCTAAGTTGACTGAATTTTTCCTGCCTAACCATTCCCACTCACAACCGGTGTCACTCGGTCTTGATTTTCTTCTTGGGATGAAACAACCATTAAGAAGTTTGCACCTCTCGGAGCCATTAACTATGGAGAATTTTCATAAGTTTGAGACCTTGGTGGAGAAACATGCCAAATCTTTGGAGCATTTGGGATTTATCGTGTCAACTGAGGAAGACGCCACGAATGGGTTGCAGCTTCGGCTCCCTGCCCTACCAAAGTTGCAAGATCTTTACTTTTCCGTGGAACAGGAGTTTTACAGACCTCGGAGGACTTACGCTATGGTGACCTTGACCTTTCCGGGAGATTCTGACACGGCCAACTACAAGGAACACCTTCCATCCATCCGTTCCATGCGAATCTATCCAGGAAATGAGCTGCGACGTTGCACATCTTGGGAAAAGTATGGCGATTTTTTCGACACTTTCCTCCCCAAGAAAGACACAACATCCTCAAATAAGCCGGAAGTCTGCACCACTCTGAAAAGATTATACATTCCGTACGAGATTGGACGCCATCCGCGTATTCCATACCCACAAGCGGCCGAACTTGCCGGAATGTTTCCAAATGTGGGGGAGAAATTCATGATGAAATTTAAGAAAACTGCAAGCCAGGTGATTGAGATGCAACATTGAGCCTCGAAAATGGGACCTCTTCTCTTTTTCTAAATTTAGATAAAAATGTCATGATAATTTGTAAGTCTTTGTTTTTGTATTCATCTTTATCGTATTGTAACAAGTATTCTGTATGAATTTGTGTTTGTGCATGCAAGTTGGATAGATTGTTGAATAAAGTGTGAAATAAAACCGTACAATAAAATAATAATATTACATGCATGATAAAAAAGTTATAATGGTAGAAATTCAGTCTCAAATTTTCATCGCACTGTTCCCCATGCAATCACGAAACTCAGTTCGCTCAACAATAAGCAAAACATCTTCCAAATTTCTTTGTCATTTAATTATTTGCAAGTTTTTTATCAGTTAATTAATTAACCAACCTACAAAATGGCTGGGATGGACGGTGTCCTCTTTTCAAAAGTTTGTCTACCCTGTTCACACAAATATTTTTGCTACGTGTGTTCAGAATTTAAATGTATTTGCTCGGAAGATTCGGTCGACAATTCTGCGGATGGAGACAAGGTCGTCGTCGTCGCCGGTTCGTCGAATAGTCACGTTAAGGCTAATGTCGCCAAAGGTGTCGGCGCCACAAGTTGGCAACGGTTTGCAATCTTGCCATATCAGGACAGGCGTAAGGTTAGTTAATTTAATTTTGTAGTTAGTATTACCTATAAACAAAGAACAAGGGTGGTGTGGCATTGGTTAACTAACTGCCTTACTAAATATTGTTTTTGTGTACTATAGTTCACTCTCGGGACAAAATACACGTCCTGGCAAGACCAAGGGGAATTTATATTCTTAAACATCGATGATAAAAATGGTTCCGATGTCGACGATTATTCTGACGATGACGATTCCTATGAGGGTGACGACAATAACACAGCGGGGGCGTCGCTCTTGGAAACATCTTGTGATAATGGACAGTACTACGTAATGCCGGGTTCAGTACGTACATACATTAAATAGATATTAACCTACCATGTTTATTCTGTAACTAATTACTAATATTTATTTATTGTTAGGGAATCGAACTTGTAATCAATGGTGAAAAGAGAAGGAATTATCGAGTCAAACTTAATTTTGGAGACAGACTGGAAATCGGTTGGGAGGGTGAAGTGGTAAAGTTGCTGTTCAAAGTGAGAGATTTTTAATACTTTTTATGAAGAATGCAAATATTGGGTAGGATCCATACTTTCCCACCAGGTATTTCGGTATGCAGGTCAACTGACTTTTTGACTTGCAGGTCAAGCCTCCGTGGCTAAATTTTTTTTGTTATCTTTTTTTATAAAATTCTTTTCACGCGTTTTATCTAGCCTATTACAGAAAAATTGGCTTGCGATATACTCAGTTCTCAATGTTTCACAAATTTTAATTAATTTGCCCAAAATTTAACGTGTAGGTTAAAATTTAGGATTTTAATTGGCAAATTTGACCTGCAGGTTTCAGGAAATTATTAAGGAAGTTCTTAATTTTAAAATTTAAGAGGATTTAGTTTGCAAATTTAACCTGCAAAGCGCCCTGCAGGTTAAATTTTCAGTTTGCAGGCTAAAATTACACCTGCAAGTCGCCTTCGGCGACATGCAGGTCTAATCCCCTATTTTTCTGTCTGCAGGTCAAGGTTATACCCACCAGTACGGGGTGGGAAAGTAATATGTGTCCCGGCCCGTGTGGTTCCGCGCGATTACGTAGTATATTGCGAGGCTAGTGGATATTTATTTTTGGATTTATTATTTTTCGATACGAAATTACATACGCTACAGCGGCTATAAAACATTTTGTGCCAAAATGACGAACTGAAATAAGGTAAGGTGAGAAAGTGAACACCTTGTAAATCTAGTTTGGCAACACTGCAAAACCGTCGCCACGCTTGACTCGAACATGGCGTGCCAGCACTTTAAAATGGAAGAATGTTCCAAAACCACTATCCGCCTTTACATTTCGATGTACAAGGATGCCGAAACCGTGAAGTTTAAAAAAAATCCTGGGACACCTCCTCTCATAGGCACCCCTAAAAAAGTGAAAGCCATGAAAAACTATTTACGACCAACCCTTCCATTACAATTCGTCCCGCGGCTCGGAAAGTGAAAATTTCAAAAAGCTTGATGAGCATAATTAAAGTTCAGAAACTGGGGATCACAGCACAAGTTAAACATAGTTCTCCAAAGTACGTTGGGACTAGGGAAGTAGAGTCCAAAAATGTTGCAAAAAATTATATCAAAAACTGTCACACAAAAATGTCATCGTGGATGACGAGGCCTACGTCATCGTTGTACCTTAAGAGACTCCCGGAGGGCAATTTATCCACGCATTCAACCTCTGCGATGTGGATTATAAAGAAAAAAATAAGGTCAAAACCAAATTCCCAAAAAAATATTGAATTTAGGAGGCGATGGACAGTTTTGGCAACATTTCTCCACCCTATATTTGCCTGGGCACCATAAACGTAAAAGTTTATGAAAGTAAATTTTTGAAGCGGTTACTTAAGTGGGTGAGGAAAGTTAGCAATCCAGACGAAATTTTATTTTGGCAGGACCTCGCGACCTCCCATTATGCCAAAATTTGTACCACCTACATGGGGGACGAAGGCGTCGACTTTATTCCCAAGAACGACAAGCCCCCCAAATGTCCCCTAACTGCGAGGAATCCAAAACTTTTGGGCCTTGTGCGAAAGAAGATACTCCGACCTTTGTAATAAGTCTGAAAATTTGGATGGATTCAAACGTCGATGGACTAAAATCAGCAAGGACATGGCGCATGAGGGTGGAAAATCGATCATGGTATGGATTCGCCGGAAAATCGGACTAGTGGCAGAGAAAAAAATAAAACCAAAAATGCCAAAGAAAGAATGACCACTAGGGTTCCCACCTACAATTTTTCGAAGGTTTTATAAAAATTCATTAGCCCGCTCGAATTCCGCAAATCATTTTGATCGGAACTACACGGGCCGGAACGCACTATATGGTAGGATCTTTTAAAAGATTTGTCTACTTCTTTTTATAGGAGCGAACTTTTAAGCCTGACGTGGAGAAGGAGGAAGAAAATGTGGAAACCGAAGTGGTCGGAGATAGGTCACGGGAAGAAAATAATGTGGATTTTACCCCCTTACAGAACCACTTGGTATGCAAAATTTGAATCGTCAATTTATTTAAATTTATTAAAGTCTATCAAGTTTTTGACAATTTTGTCATGCATAAAAGCCTAATTAATTTGCAGATCTTGCCCAAAATCCTTTCCTACCTTCCCATCCAAAGTTTGAAGTGTGCCCGACTAGTATGCAAAGATTGGAATGAAGTAGGCTCAAAAATTTTGCCAAGTACGGGATACGCCACCTTCAGATACGAACATGATTACGGCAGCTATGAAGATGTCAACGCATCCATGAAATTTCACCGGTACCTTCAAGAAATGCAGAACATGCCCATGCCAAATTGGAAACTTTTCATCCCCAAATTTGAACTTCACCAGTTCCCAAATCCATCCCCATTGCCCAGCAGTGTATACCGCATACCGAAAGACAAACCGGGAGAGAAATATATCACGGATTTGATCTGGTTTCTCCACCCGAATCGGGGACACCTAGTTAAAAGATTGAAACTTTATGGAACCATGGAATCAAATTTTGACTACAAGATCTTCCTAAAAGTTGTGACGGGATTGCAAGAAAATTTGGAAGAATTGAAATTGATTGCGCCCTTCGAGACACGGGAAGAGTACAAAATCGCAAAAAATCTTGACTTCAAGAGGCTCAAATACTTTTCTTGTTATCTCAGTAATTTGGAAGGCAGCATTTCCTTCGATGCGAACGAACTCGTCTGGGTGGCACCATGGGCATCAGCAATTGTGGGGGTGGAAAGAATGAGAATTTCCGGTTTTTCTGATATACCGTCCTGGTTCGTGAAAAGGTTGGAAATCATTGGCCCTTCCTCGTTCCATAATTTGACTCAATTTGCCTTCGATGTTTACGACTATACCGTGGTGTCGATCGGACTGGATTTTGCAGCTGGGTTGAAACAACCACTCAAACTTTTACGCGTGTCGGAGCTACTGGATGTGGAGAATTGTCACAAGTTTGAAAACTTGGTGGAGAAAAATGCCAAAAGTTTGGAATCCTTGGGATTTATTGTGTCAACTATACGAAATGATAAAAAGGTTAAAAGTTTGCAAATTCGACTACCGGCGCTGCCCAAGTTGCAAAAACTTTTCTTTTCCGTGGAACGAGGACCTGTGTTGTATTATAACAGGAGTGAGATCAAGGTCACTCTGACCTTTCCAGGGGTTAGTGAAACGGTCAACTACAAGGAGCACCTTCCGTCCATTCGTTGCATGAAAATCCACCCGGAGGGTGGGTCTGGACGTTGTACGTAGTGGGAAAAGTATGGCGATTTTTTCGACACCTTCCTCCCCAAGGGAGACATGTCAGAAGTTTGTAAAACTCTGGAAATTTTGGACATTCCGTACGAGACTTGGGATAATCCACCAATTCCATACCCACGAGTGGCCGAACTTCCTGGAATATTTCCAAATGTGGGGAACAAGTTTATGACGAAATTTAGGAAGATGTAATGTAATCCTCCCCGTAAACCAGATTGGTAAATATGATTGAGACGAAGACTTAAATATAAGTATGCTTTCGAGATTGGTATAAAAAGTTAGTAACAATTTGTCGGCCTTTTTAATTAGTTGTAATTCTTTCTGGTTTTGTAATTCATCTTTAAATATTGTTTGTTTATCAACTTGAAATATGTATGTTTACATTTGTGTTTTGTATGAAATTTCGATGATCGAATACTTGGCAATAAATACCTTTATTTGAACAAAGGTCGTCGACAGTTCTGCCAGTGAAAACATGGTGGTCGTCTATTCGGCGAATTCCGGCGACACGGCTGCCGACGGCCCCACTAACTCGGGGGTGGCAACGAGGTAGTTTCCGACTCGGAGGGAGTAGTTATCCGGCAAAGTTGGAAACAGTTTGCAATCTTGCCTTATCAGGACGGTCGAAAGGTTAGTTTAGTTTGGTTAGTAGTTTAATTATAAATATTATAAAAAATTGGTTTTCCTTTACCGTAGTTTACCCTCGGGACAAAATACACGTCACGGGAGGAGCAAGGCGAATTTATCTTCCTCCATGTCGAGGACGACTATTATGACGACGAGGAAGGCGACAACTTGGGGAACGTTAATACGGCGTCGCTCGTGGAAATATTCTGTGACAATGGGCAGTTCTATATAACGCCTGGATCAGTGCGTAATTGAATATTAGGGAAAATATACAATTTTATCTATGGGTAATTAATTGTTCAGGTGTTTTAAATATTTAATTTTAGGGAGTCGTGTTGGAATAAATGAATGATCGTTCGAAAAGATTGTCAGCAGACTGATACTGATTTATTACAAATTACTCATATTTATAATACATACATTGACACATATTACTACAATAAATGATTAAAGATCGGATGTTATTTTATTCTATCCTTACATTCTAGTACAATGAGATGATGAAGAGAGAGAACAATTCCAGAGTCGACACATTTTATGATGTGTCAAGCGACAGAACATTCTCGCTCTCAACACATTCTTAGCCTAATTATGATTGCATATTAGAAACTAAACCGGACGTGTCACTTGGTTAGTGATGACACGTCTAATGAAAATATGTAACAATATATTTATGTCCTACATACCAAAATATGCTAAAACGTTTCTAATCCCGATAAGTCGAACTTTTAATCAATGGTGAAAAGAAGTCATACGAAGACCGTGAGGGAAGTTATCGTCCCGAACTTAATTTTGGGGACAGGTTGGAAATCTCTCCTTGGCATGATTATGTTGACGTGGTACAATTCCTCTTCAAAGTTAGAAATTTTTAATATTTTTATAAAGGAGAGTGATAATTTTTGGCTAGTTTTAAAACTGCTTTTTTTAGGAGAGAACATTTAAACCGGACAACCATAATTGGTATGGGAAACGTGACACGAAAGAAGTCGTCCCACTTGGAGATATTATTTTTACCCCGGGCCAAAACCATTTGGTATGTAAAATTTTAATGCGGTTTTGTTAATTAATGTTGGTTGAGAAATTGTTACAAAATTTTGATTTATATTAATTACAAACGTGGAATCGTATTCAATTTTTTTTATAGATCTTGTCCAAAATCCTGTCATATCTTCCCCTACCAAGTTTAAAATGCGCCCGACTAGTATGCAAAGATTGGAATGAAGAGGGGTCACGACTTTTACGAAATATGGGATGCGCCACTTTCGAATACGAACATGATTACGGCAACGAAATCCAGGATGTCAACGCCTCCATGAACTTTCACCGGTACATTGTAGAAATGCAGAACATGCCCATGAACAATTGGAGGCTGCACATTCCGATGTTTCAAAATACCTTCAGCGTATTTAACATCCTCCCGTACAACCCGGGAGAAAAGTATGTCGCGGATTTAACCTGGTTTCTCCACCCGGATCGGGGACATCACATCAAACGTTTGCGGCTGCGCGGCCGAATTTTGTCTTACCTTGATAACAAAATCTTTCTAAAAGTTGTGACCACGTTGCAAGAAACTGTGCAAGAATTATATTTGAGCGTGCAATTCTACTCAGATGAAGAGTATCAACCCGAAGGAAACCTTCGTTTCCCAAAACTAAAAGTATTTTCCTTCTTTCTGAATCGTTTTGTGGAATCGAACCCGCTGAATCACGCCTATTTAGCACCATGGGCATCTGCAATTGTGGGAGTGGAAGAAATCAGAATTGTCGGATGTCCCGTAATGGCGTCAATTTTCATGCAATCTATGCAAGACGTTGGACCTTCGTCATTCCCTAAATTGACTGCATTTAAGATGAAGCTATTCTCCATATTCCCATTCCAGCCGTTGCAGCCTTCACTACAACTCGATTTTCTGTTCGGATTGACACAATCCTTGAAGAGTTTAAGTGTATCCGAACTCCTGAGAATGGAGGATTTTCGCAAGGTTGAAAACTTGGTGGAGAAAAATGCCAAAAGTTTGGAACTCTTGAAAATAACGGTGTCAACTCAAGGAGACGCTAAGGCTGGTTTGAAACTTAGGGCTCCCTGCCCTACCCATGCTGCAGAATTTCTTGTTTTTCGTCGAGCGAGGCTTGGACTATGACACTTATGGCAAGAGTGAGGCCAAGGTGGGGCTGAAATTTCCGGGGGACACGGGCATCGTTAATTACAAGGCACACCTTCCATCCATCCGTTCCATGAAGCTCTTCCCGATCAGTGAATTTGAAGATGGTGCGTCCTGGGAAGAGTGTGGGGATTTCTTCGACACCTTCCTCCCCAAGAAAGATGAACAAGAAGTTTGCAAAAGTTTGCAGATTTTGGATATTCCGTACGAGATTGGGGACAAGGCAAAAATTCCATTCCCGAGAGGGGCAGAACTTGCAGGAATGTTTCCAAATGTGGGGAACGAGTTCATGACTAAATTTAGGAATCTTGCCCTCCAACCAGATTGGTAAATATGATTGAGAAGAATAATTAAATATGATAAGTGTACTTTACAGATTGGTATCAAAAGTTAGTAACAGTTTGTCGGCCTTTTTAAATAATTGTAATTCTTTCTGGTTTTGTAATTTATCTTTAAATGTTGTTGGTTTATCAGTTTGAAATATGTATGTTTACATTTGTGTTTTGTATGAAATTTCGATGGATGACTTAATAAAATTGGAAGTAAATTCCTTTATCTGAATAAAAATAATGCTCAAAAATTTCAAATTTGTGCCAATCCTGCTAGTATCATCGGATACAGTATTTAAAAAATAATATACGCATGTATACAAACATTTACAACGGGTTTTGCAATTTTAGTTTGCAGAAAATCAGTCTCACGAAGTCGCAGAGTTCCCCACGAACTTACCACGAAACTCAAACCCATCTGTTGAACCTCAAACACAAAACGTTTAAAGTTACTGCGTCATTTAATTAAATATGTATTAACAAATTTCTTACCCAGTTAACCAAATTACTACATTCCATAATGAGGGACGGGGTCCTCTTCTCAAACGTTCGCTCATCTGGTTCACGGCTGTGCATCGGGTGTAAGAAACTTCGGTGCATTTGCTGGGATGCCGACAAGAGGAAAATGCCAGACCACCCAAAGATGGTCGACGATTCGGCGAATTCCGGCGCCACGGCTGGGGACGTCCCCATACAAAATTGATGAAATTATTCAAACTGATTATATAAATATTTATTTTCTAATGCTAATTTTATTCGTTTATTAGATACACGATTTCTGGCATGTTATCTCTTAAAATATAATACTCTACAAGTATTTATTGCCAAAATATTTATTTGCGAACAATCTTCATTAAGTACATACAAATCAGCCTTCATCCAATGTTTGAAAATTTTCCATAGTACGAAATGATGATGACAGCCATTTCAAACCTGTGAAAAAATTATGTTGGTTTAGGCAAAATTATAACTCTTATACATTGACGATTCCAATTTTACTTAAAAAGTCATAAAATTATATATAGCGTACCATGATTATTTTTCTCCAATATTTTATTACTCGCTCCAGAGTCCTGGTTTGCCTGATTATGAAACCAAATCCATATCATTCGTCCACTCAATCCGGTCAGGGTAGTCAGTGCGGATAACACATTAGTGTCTAATTGACCACCCTTTGTGGCATAGCTAGCCTGTAGAATGTCTAATTGATGCTGAGAGAGGGATTCGGATCGGGTTGGGCCAAACTGATCTTTCTCTACCACCTGACTTGTAGTCTTTATGGATGGAAGATTAATGGAATAACGGAACAATGTTTTCATCGTGCCACCAATGCCCTGAAAAAGTGTGGATGAATATGAAATTTGCTTAATTATGAAATTATTAGAGATATTGTATAACATAGATTTGTAACTAACCAATTGTTCCCGCTTCAGTTTCAAAAAGGTTTGAAAATTTATGTCGATATCCCTTCTACTCTGGAACCATGATTCGACACTGCGCACTGCCATCTTAGTAACTTCTGCGATCTCCTGCTTTAGAAAATAGTTGGGAATTGGAGTCGTCTCGTAGATGCTTTGCAGAACATTGAGCTGTGTCACTGAGAGGATGGAATTACACGTGTGTGATGATAATGGCGTGGATGGCCCTGGTTTGTCTTCAGGTTTTGTAGGATTACAAGTCTGACTGTCTTTGTGATTGGAAGTTGACCCTGAACAATGCTGAAATTATTAAAAAAAAAGTCAGGACCACTTCAAGGAAGTAAAGAGCTAATTTTTCTTCTCAACCATTTTTAGACTACATAATGCAGCGATGTTATGAATTCATATTGTACACTGCAAAAAATATCAGTAAAGCGCGGTGTAAATATGCGCCCACACCGTTTGGTGATAAAATTGTCACTGATTGGTAACAAAATGACACCATGTGGGGGTAAATTTCCACCGTTGGGTAAGTATTGTCACCAATTGTAATTGTACATTATTGTGACAGTTAGTCCTACCACGCGGTGACAAAATCAACACCAAGTCAGTGTAGCCGCATACCTACACCGCCGGTTTAAAAATTTACACCGGATTTTTTGCAGTGTAAGAGCAAAGTTAATAAACGTAGCGCACTGTACACATATACATATCGCCAGATAACAACCTGGAGCAAAGACAGTTGATTATAAACGGAAATGATTATTTTATAAAGTTCTGTCATTTGTTCATAAGATACTAAATAATTTTAAACCTGTTTCTTGCATATGACATAAATACCTTTGAACGTCCAAATTGCTTCGTAATAGGCTCTGTCCTGGTTAGACCTTCCTCCTCGCGGAAACGAACCTTAATTCCTAGGAGTCTTCCTTTTACCAAATTCAATATATTTTTGGTTGGCTCTCCAACCGTTGTACCTTGCCAATCAAGCCCAGCGCTCCCTTCAAAAGATTAAATTGCATGAAAAATATCGCAAGAACTAATTTTGTCATTGTATTTTATTTTTTATTGAAAACAGATACATAAATAGTTTTACCATTCGCTTTGTTGGTGTGAATAGATCTCACGTTGCCTAAATTAGCAGAGGACGATGACGATCTGGTACTCATGTTAGGGTAAGACTGGATTTGATCCTTTAAATTGAGGCGACCATCCGAACTTCGAAATGTCGCCTTCTGTAAGTCCGTTATTCTTCCAGCTGCATTTTTTGTAGTTAATTCTTCCTTGTCATATCTATAGTTATCTTGCTGATCACTTTCTTTTTTCTGGCTTTCTTGATAAACATCATTTGCACAGAAAGCAAAGAACGAAATAAGGTGCAAGATGTACAAAAATTTAAAATCGGACAGGGAAATACGCCAATAAGTTGCTTCTCTGCTTGGCTTAACGTCAAGCTGTCGGGGTGGGATGCAGATTCTTAAAAAAATCAAGGCACCAGCGACAAGTATGGATATGAGGCAGCCGTAAAAATAATATTTCACGACAACCGGTTTCTGTTCAGTTGCCTTATCCTCCGTCATGTTCAGTTACAGCGGTTAAATTTAATTTGGAAATTATGGAAAGTATTTCCAACGTGTCGCTACAATATGAGAAGTATGACTGAAAGATAGAAAAAGAGAAAGAGAAATTTTAGTTGTATTCCTTTGTGTGATTGCGAGCCAAGAACAGCTGAAAAATGTTTTGTGTTTGCCAACATACCCACAATGTAAAGGGTCGTATTAGAAAATACGGTTCCCCTCCATTGTCTGCTTGGAAAGACGGAAACCTTTTTCATATCAGTGTTAAGATCATCCTAGGAGAACCGTGATGATTCCATTGTTGTTAAATTGTGTATGTATTCATGTAGGTAGGAAATTTCATTGGATAAGGAATTGTGTGTAAATGTGGTGTAAAATTCAGTATGGTCCAGTATAACTTAATATCACAGTAAAAAGACTGGGAAACTTCTAAGTCTATAAAATTCTAACTTCTAACTAAACAACTCTACTTCATAACATTATTCTACTGTCTTCAAATATCAAATTTAAGTTGATTATTAAAAATTGGCTTTTATATTGTTTTTTTAAAGTTTAAGCTGGAAAATTTTACCTATGCAATAAATATATTTATGTATGCTAATATGCATATAAATACATACACATGTACTTATTTAAATACTAATATTAATTAATTTAATTTAAATTAATATTAATTTATTAATTTAAATATTTACATATTTAAATACATGTATATATGCATACAATACATATATATTTAAATTTATACCTTGTACGAAATACAGTTTCCTGAATGCTAATAAGAAACAATGCAGTTATATGTTGACTTATGTAGATAAGTTTGAGAATTTCATTAGTTAATGGTATATTTTATTTGAAAATATCTTCAAACATAACACATGAATATGTTTTTAAATAAGAATAATATGTAAGTACAATGAGAAAATAAATAATGCTGTGGTTAAGTTATGTAAATATTTTGTGAAATAGTTACAATTTGGAAATAACTAAAATTACAGATTTATGTATATATAAGGTACATATGTATGTACTTCTAGTAGTTGCAGATGATATAGAGACTAATAATTGCGTAAGGATAAACATTTTATTGCGTGATGAATTTGAAAAATAAGTAACTATAAGTAAAGTAAGAAAAAAAATAAAATAAATAAGTAAAAATGTTGGACAATTATTTTTAAGCAATTAATAAATATCTTACCTTACATACAATTGCTCGAAACTAATTTGTACCAAACAAAATAAATTCAGTGCTGGGCTTGCAATACCAAATCTCACACGGTTATACAATATCCGACGTAAATACATATATTTACTAACAGGATAAAATTAAAAAATGCCTTTTATTAAGAATTACCGTTGTAACAAAGAGACCGTAATATATGTGAAATAATGGCTTCTAAGGATTACCCATGCTAAGTATTTACAAAATGATGACATTAATCATCTCTTATCAGATATATGTAACTTATCGCTACGCCTATGGTACGTTTTTTAAAATTAGAACTATTTTTTAGTGATTAAAACTCAACACATGAAAAATTCAAATTACTACTGCTCGGTCGATTTTTGAAGGATTTCAAAAATTTAAACGGTTCTGGAGACTTTAAAGTTCACAGTTTCCAGAACCGTTTAAATTTTTGAAATCCTTTCAAAATCAACCGATCAGTAGTAATTTGAATTTTTCATGTGTTAAGTTGTAATCACTAAAAAAATAGTTGTAATTAAAAAAAATCTACCATAGTAATGGATGGCTTTACTTCATACTACTGCTAAACCTCGTGACAAACACTTTGGACACATTTTCTTATTGTTTCTGAGAAACCGCAAGAAAATTGAAAATTGCAGGAGAAACCGTTTCTCCTGCAATTTTCAATTTTTACTTGAGCATAGACAACTACATCACGTACCAAGTGATCCAGGTCATTTCTGATTAACGCCCTCATACCAAAATATGCAAGAAACATACCTATTCTTAACTTGGTAACTGGTTCCTAAGTTATGTTATTTTATGTAAACACATTTTGATAGAGATTCCTCATTTTACTATTTTTTCTGTTCTAAATATGCATAACCTAGTCAGAAATGCTGACTCCGAATTAAGTAATTGTCTTCCCCAAGAAAATGGAGATCAGGATCAGTTTTGGGATTACAGGTCAACAAGTATATTTGCAGGGTCGAAGGAACTTATCAAAATACAGCTTGTGATTACCTAGATAGCGGTAATACAGATGCATATCGTGTTACATATGTATATTTTCGTACAAATGTACATATTTGACCATAAATTAAGTCTTAAAGAGGATAAAGGTGTACGGGCAAAGGATGATGAAAGTAATTCCGTAATCTTGCACCAATATTTTAGATTGAAGCATTACTCCTACCAACATACGTGAGGTTTGGATCGTTTTTTTGCATCTGTTTTTTCCTGCTATCCTTTAAACATTATATTTTCTAAGTTGGGCAAATTTGATTCACAGACAGTCAATTTAAATGGCAAAGGATCCTTTTAGCTACATCATAATGAATTTGGCCCATTTTCGAGGTCATTTATGCCACTACACACATGAACGAGAAATATGGGAATTTTATCAATTAAAAATTTCGAACAATCTAGTTTCTATATTATTTGATTTATGGTAGAACTACATAGCTTGTTTAAAAATACGAAAAATTATTTGCTTCGATCTTATCAAATTTTATTTAGTGCAACTATAAATAATTTGATTTTATATTTATCTCATTAACCACATTATACCGCAAACGTGGAATCATTCGAAAATCACAAACATCTTAAGATTGACGAAACGATATTTTCCTTTACAGATTTATGCACAAAAGGGTAATATTATAACTAGATTTGTAAATGATGCTTACCCACAAAAATCTGAATCTGAAAATTTATATTTAAAAGAAACTTCCACAACGGTGTCGCTACAGTAACAAGTTTAACCAAAAGATCACATGGTGCCTAATAGACAAATCCAACTACTAAATTCAAGTACCAAAAATTGAGTAGAAGGTTGTACCTGAAACCAAGCTAGTTTCAAATATTACAAATGAAGTAACTTATGAGAAAACGGGTTCAAGTTGTATTATATGCAATGAGCAACCTTAATACATTTTTTGATGAATGCATTACGTTTGTAGAACTCACGGATCGGAGCAAACAATAAAATTTTGTTCACGTAAAGGATGTTAAGGATGGATGTTACGCAGACGCTGGACAAATTAACGGTGCGCAAGAACTCAACTTAGGATCCGGTATGAGACCATTCAGCATGAACTTATGCACTCAGCAGGCAAGTTAGCAATTCACTAAATTTTGCAATATTTGAAATTGGCTTGACAAAAGTTCTCGTCAAATTAAGCAACATTGCTTAATTTATTACAAATAATTAAGTAGGGCTCCATCACGACAGGGGACAATACATCAGGTTCTTATTTCAAAATATTCAAAGAAGTACATAGTTTAAAAAATGATACCTTGTTGGTCAATATTTGCCGATGCCATTATAAATAGTTTACATGACATATGAGCTCATTAACTTAATGTCCGTACAACGCTTGCTTCGTTACAGCTCAAGTGAATCAGTATTAGATTCTGAGGAAAAATGAGATCCTTTACTTCATTATCGTGATACAACCTTCCAGATTAGTGGGAGGCCTACAATACGGCTATAGATTTAGCACAGAATAAATTCCCATTTGCTGAAAACTCTTACCGATATATTTTACGGCGGATCTTTTCAGATTTTAAATAAAAAACTTATAAACAAAACAAATGTGTACATGTAAATTGTACATACCGTGCACTCTAAATACAATTGAATGTAATTAACGGTTCTACATATATTCAACTACATTATGAATGTGAATGTACCACTCTCTGAGTAATATTTACACATCAGGCTTGTTGTTACTAAATACTAAACTTTGATCTGTATCCAGAATAGATCGGGGAGAATGTACCCCTAAAATTTCTCCAATGTGCAAATTACCTCACGTATGTATGCAAGTCAGGCACCTTTTTTAAAAACATTTTTCAAATGTTGTATTGTTTTTTTTTACAGGCCAACAACACCGATGTTCTGCACCATTATTTATGCAACATATGCGATATGCATATATTCCCCATAACATTATAAATAAGTGAGAAAAAATAACTGTACTTGAAAGGATTTAAGTCAATGCAATTGCAACTTACATTCGGTAAGCATTTATGAATGAATGGATTTAGAAACAAGTAACTAGATAATTATAATTTACATACGTAATTACTGCATTTACCTACATAGAGTTAAACTCCCAATTGTTTCCGCCCTCTTCCAGAAGATGCTGAGCAACTGGACAATTTTCAAGCCGATTATCAGCACCCATGCTATTAAATATTAGACCTTCTATCCTTGTACCTGCTGAGAAATGTCTTACTATTTCCGTATATTCGGAGATCAAGAACGTCCGGGAATGAATGGGAATGGTCTGAAAATGTGGTCATAAAATCACAATTAGTTATCGGAATTTTAAACTTTTTGCATATGTATAATACCAAATACGTACCTACATAATTTAATTAATAGCTAAGGCCGCCACACCCCCGTTGGCGACTAGTTCGATTTTCTTGCGAAGATTTTTCATTAAATTTTTTCCCGAAGTTTTTGCCACTTCCGAGGTGATTTTCTTCCATCGTCCTTTGAATTTTCGAAAGGTGTCAGGCACATCTTGAAGCCGGGAGTATACTGACTTAGAACGTGCCCAGAATTTTTCGATTGGGCGGAGTTGGGGTACATTAGGTGGGTTGATATCTTTTGGTACGAAATCAATATTTTTCTTTCTGAGGTACTCGGTCACTTTCTTTGCATAGTGACAAGTGGCGAGGTCAGGCCAAAACAAAACTTTATCATTTTTGTGAAACCTATTAATAAATGCTTCCAATCCAGCCTTGACGCAATTTTTCAGATAAATATCTTGATTGATATTCCCTTCGAGAACTACCGGGTCTGATACATGTCCGTGACTGGAGAAGCATTGCCAAATGCAATATTTCTTTGGAAATTTGTCTTTTTTTCGT